TCTACTATCTACAGCAGTCACTGTTGTGATCCTGGCCATCTTAGTCATATATATTACCTGAATTTTGATGTTTGATTATGTAAAGGCACTATGGTGACATTGTACATCTTCTAAATCTTACCTAGAAAGACTAAGGTTTGGGAAGGGCTATACCCAAAACTATAGCAAAAAATTTACAGAAAATGATACATCTATACCTGTAATCTTATTACTTGGAATACTGAAACAGGAAGTGTGAAGCCAGCATGCGTTATACAGTTGAGTATGGGACTATGGCGTAAGAGCCTTCCTAATAATGCCTTTATAAAACTAAATACTAGAAGATGGAAAGATGCCCCCTATCCCCCACGCTTAGGGTGTCTGAATTAGTATTTTGAAAATGGCTGTTTTACTGAAATTAGCATATAGGTATCTATAGAATCAATATAGTAATCCCTGTCAAAGTTCTAATGACATTATTTACAAAAACTGAAAAGTAAAACAAAATTCATCTAAAAGCACAAAATACTCCAAATAGTCAAAGCAATCTTCAGCTAAAAGAGCAATTGCTAAAGTTATCAGAATATCTACCTTCAATTATATCTCAGACAACAAAAACAATGGTACTGAAAAAAGCAGACAAACAGATCAAGAGAAGAGAATAAAGAGCCCCAAATAAACTCATGCAACTATAGTCACATGACTTTTGAAGCTTGTGCCAAAACCTCTATTGGAGGAAAGGCACTCTTGTCAAAAATAATGCTGGCAAGCCTGAATATCCAAATGTAGCACAGTGAAACTGATTCTTATTCCTCACACTACCCAAAATATGACTGCAAATGAATCAAGTTGCAAAGAACTACAGGTAACTAAAGGAATACACAGAGTAGGAGAGACTCTTACCCAGAGAAGAGCACATCAATTGATTATCTAATAACAAATGGTCAGCCTTGAAGACATACACATAAGTAATATCAAACAGACTGAGCAGATTATAATTAAGAATATATGAATATACAAGTATATAAAATCATGAACAATTAACAAAATAGAGCAAAGATGGACATAAGGGAGTTTCAGAAGAGAAAAGGGAGGGGGAAATGATGTAATTATACTATAATCTCAAAAAATAAGCAAATAGAATTACATAAAATTAAAAAGTTTCTGCATAGAAAAAAATTATCAGGATGGGTCAAGTGAGAGAAAATCTTTGCCAACTATAAATCACAGAGCGGAATAAAATTCATAATATAAAGAATTCAAGACATTATCTGTGCTCCAAACCAATCAATAAATGGCCAATCTGAGTAGAAAAGATAGTACTCAAAAGCAGTATAAAAAGCCAATATATGAAAATAATCTTAAGCATCCTTAATTTGGAGGAAATGGACATAAAGACTAAGGGGGGGTTTCCACCTCACACACAAGTCAGAATAACAATCCTAGGAGAATGACAAATGCTGGAAAGGACAGGGCAAAAGGGCACTTAAACCTGCTGGTGGGAATGTACAAATAAAACAGGACACTTTGGAAATGAGTATCCAGGCTTCAAAAAACTAAAGCAGAAGTAACATATGACTTGCTTCACGCTTGGAAATATACCTAAAGGCACCCAAGCCAGCACTACTCTGTCCTAGTTCATTAAGGTTTCTATTGCTGTGGTGAAACACATGATCAAAACAACTTGGGGTGGAATGGGTTTATCTGGCTTATGCTTCCAAATTACTGTTCTTTACTAAAGAAAAGTCAGGACACAAACTCAAACGGGAGGAATCTCGAAGCAAGAGCTGATGCAGAAACCATAGAGGAGTGCTGTTTATTAGCTTGTTCCCTCTGGCTTACTCAACTTGCTTTCTTACAGAACCCAGGACCACCCTAGGTAGTGCCAAGGGATAGTAGCACTACCAACAATGGGCTGAGCCCCTGCCCTCCCCCATCAATCATTAAGAAAATGTCCTACAAGCTTGCTACAGTCCAATCTTGTGGGACAGTTTCTTAATTGAAGTCCCCTCCTCTCAGATGACTTTAGTTTGTGTAAAATTGACATAAACTATCCTTATACAGAACAATATCCATGCTTACTGCTAATCAAGATATGGACCCACCTTAACAATCTATCAACAGATGAATGGACAATGAAAACCATGTCTACATACACAAGGGAGTTTTACTCAGCTATAAAAAAAGAAATGTAATCTGTAAGACAATGGACAGAACTAGGGATCATGATGTAACATGAAAAAATCCAAACTCAGAAAGACAAATGTCAATGTGGTATGAAAACTTAAATACAATGGGGGAGGGGGGGAGTAGGGGGCAGGAAACAAAATAGGGCAGTAGGGGTTAACATGAACAAGTATTCAACACACATATGGGAAAACAACATAATAAAACCTACTATCTTACATGCTAATTAAAACAAATGCAGTCAATTTCAATAATCTTATATATGCATTTCAAAAAATAATGCTGAAGACAGAATACAAATGCCATATAAAATAACCCAAAATGTTAAATATGAAAGGAAAGACTGGTTAATGAGACAGTCTAAAGAAAAGACACATTTTTCATAAGTTAGGAAGAGAAAGGGAAAAGGAAGAAAGTGAATGAGAACAATTCACACAAAATGAATCAAGGACAAAAACACATTCTCAAAAAGAATCAGTCTTATGCGCAGAAGCTCTCAGACATTAAACAGCATGGGTTCTGCACAAGTAGAAGCACAATTAATAGTTATAGTAGTCTGAGTCCAGGAGGTGCAGTCTATAGAAGAATGAACACCTACCAATGTAAATTAGAAAAGAAGGGTGAGACTATGAGTTGGAACTTTACATCAGGTCTCAGTGCATCAGATTAGCTACACTTAACCTTGTCATTAAATATACCTCTATTCATATGTTGACATCAGGAGACACTGCTAAACAAGACAACAAGGAATCTCAATTTCTATACTTATATATCTAAATGCCAAAATCTCAGTGATCCCAAATATCAAAGAATAAATCCCACTGACTCCCAAACTAAGTCCCAATGCCACTCTAAGATTGGATGCCATTAAAAATATTTATACTGTTACATAATAAAATTATAGATAAAAGGATTTTGAGGAATTGCCCAGTTGAACAACTAGCCTTAGAAACTGGATTGTAAAAGATGAAAAACTAAGAGAACTTCAAGAAGTGGTGTAGTGAACTTGAAACTATTTCAGCCTTCCAGTATAGCACCATATCAATGACTCATACCACAGCCACTCTACTTTACTGTGATAGCTTACTACAAGTTTAGCAGTGTATCACTTCTCATATAAATCATGATTTAGCTCCAGAGACCGTAAACAATACATACATTTAAACAATTCACAGAAAACTGGTTTATTCATGCCAGGCATTGGTGGCGCACGCCTTTAATCCCAGAACTCGGGAGGCGGATCTCTGTGAGTTCGAGGCCAGCCTGGTCTCCAGAGTGAGTGCCAGGATAGGCTCCAAAGCTACACAGAGAAACCCTGTCTTGAAAAACCAAAAAAAAAAAAAAAACTGGTTTATTCAACATAAAATGTTTTAAAGGCTTCAATGTCAGACTTATAACTTCTAAATAGAAATGACAGAGGTAAAGAAAAAGGGAAGGTAAACTGTGTCTTTGGCAGTTTGTTACACAACAAAATCTTTATGAAAGCTGCCAGGCTAAGTCATTTAGTTTGATTTAGAAGAACACAGAGAAAATTTACCACACACCCAAAATCGTACTTCAAGAAACAAAGTTAACATTGAAGGCATTCAACATCAGGGAACCAAAAGTATCCGTAAGAGCTGGCATTGAAAAAATGGAAACCTTAACAGGATAAACAAAAAATATAGTATTCTGACTGGGGGTAGATTTGAATGAGGTAACCTTTGAGGGTTTCATCATCATGTTCTATACTCCTTGATAAAATTTATTCCTACTTTCCACACACAACACCTGTGAGATGTTCAGCACTGACCCACATCCTACCAATGTTCAGACCCCAGCTGGCTTGTGTGGAGACAGCAGGGCAGCAGTAAGGTAAGCAAGTCCTCTCATCTGCTTTTGACCAAGAATCCTTCACCACACAGCCAAACGCCTAATTGAACTAAACAGAAATTATCTTCTAACAGAAAGAATCCTTCTTATTCTCAAAAGGATCTTCTAAATGTTAGAATTTAAAAAGTGCACATAAATCCATACAGAGAATTATAGCTAAGGTACATACTGGGAGAACAGAATATTTTCATTCTAATACAGTCAAAGTGATGGTTAGGACAGCGCTTCTATAACATTATGGTAGGTAATATTATTCTCTCAAGTATGAAATAGCTTAGTCGTTTATCATGGCATAAATGAAAATGCTAAAAAATTCTCAAGAAGCCTAAACTAAATAGAAAACATAAATCTTGAATATTTAATTTTCTAGTGAAATACAATAAAAGCTTCTGGCAGCAGTGATGGGGAAGGGGATTCCAGAAAGTTACAAAATACTTTCATTAACAGGATAGTTCCCTGGGTGGCCTTGGACCTAGCCATCCTAGCCTCCATTTCTCACTGTAATTCTCAATAAAAGGGTATGACATTCTGAGTTAGGAAGAGGCTGGCTACTCTGTTCCAACTCCAGTTCATCTGCACTCAAAGACTCCACTGCAACGATTCCAGCTACCTGAGAATAAACCTGTTTCTAATACCCTCAGCAGAAGTACAAATGGGTCATGCACAGTCAATACTGCATTCAGAAGTTTCCTGAACATTGGGAGACTTTGGGTCTCCAAAAACACTAGGTTTCTCTTGTCCACTAACAGGAAGTAGTAAATCTGTAACAAGTAACTACAACAGTGAGCCTGTTTAACATCCCCCAACATCCTCTTAATGAAAAACTCAAGAGTGATGTGACAAAACAAGCTCAACAAAAAGGCATAAATACAATGACTACAACACCCACACCACCTCAACAATAACAATACAAAAAGACATAAATACTATGACTGCAACACCCACACCACCTTAGTTCTTACCTTGTCTATTCTGTCTGGGCGATTAGTAGCTGCCAAAACTGTTACATCTTTTAGCTGTTCAATCCCATCCATCTCCGTTAACAGCTGAGCCAAAACACGGTCTGCAACATCCCCAGCACCTGAAGAACTGATATTATGAAAACAGGTTTTAAAAAATTCTTCTTTCCTATCTTTCTAAATACTATTTACTACTTTAAAAGTTTTTATTCGACAAGAAAAAAATCTGTTTGCAAATGTGTGCTTGGCAAGTCATTAGTAATTGAATTATATCAAAAACTCTATTAAAATAATTTCCTTTCCTATATCATCAAATATGTTAATCTTTCTAACACTAAAGTGGTAAATGACACTAGGATTAAGAAGCAAGACATAAGATTACTTCAACCAGTTCCTCAAACACACAAAGAATTAAAGACACTCAAAATTTACATCTGCCATATATTGACAGGGATAAGCAGTGAAAGAAAGTTACTTTATGATATAGACTCATTGCTCAGAGGAAGGTTGAGTTACTTGAAAAATTCTGCCTATCTCCCAACAAAGGGGATGTCTCTAATCTCTCTAGATACATGGAAATTATCAAGTATTTTATAAACACAACAGCAGGTGGGTAGTCACCACAGCCCTCATTTCTGAACAAACTGGCTCACCTACAAAGTCATTCACAAACCCAGTTCCTTACACACTTAAATCAAGTAAGAAAACTCTGAGAGAATAGTTTATCAAGATCACAAGATAACAATTCTCATTCATAATCATGCTGATTTCTTCAGATCTATGAATTATCTAATCTATGGAATGAAATAGCATTGTTTGTCTATTAACGTACAGATATCCAGTCAAATGCACTTGGGAAGAACAGGAAAGAAGAACAGAAAGAAGGTTTCTGTTCTGTTTCTGTCATAGGATGAATGTTATCTTTACACTGGCACTTGTGACAGGACACCTAGCATAACCACCATGTATAGAGTTACTGACAGAACTCAGATTAAACATACAGTAGAAGCTTAAAACCTTGACAGACCATCCACAGGACAGAATCTTCTGACCCACAACTTAAAACCTGACATGAAGTATTACTTGTAAGTGTTGATGCTAAGTGTCAAGTTGATTTTGTAACATGAAAAATCAATGACCCAGAGACTGATATTGGGTTTCAAACTTCAAGCTGAATATCACAAAAGCAAAGCAGCCGGGAACTAGCTTTTTACCTCTACCTCAGGCTGAATGGGCTGATCCCGTCTCCATGACCTCTCACCAAGCCTCAGACTGTAACCTCTACTCAGTGAGGCTGGAGAATGAATGCTCCATACTGAATACTGAAGACCCTGCTTCTATCTTTTATACCCCTCTAGTGCTAAGATTAAAGGAGTGTAATCTGTTACTCTTTTAGTCTGATTCAATCACGAGTATTCCTGGGTGGCCTTGAACTCAAAGATCAGAGACTATGTGGAAAGCCTGAGTCCTAATCCTTTCGGGTCAGCTAACGATTAGGTATATTAGAGCTGTTATCTAACTCAGCCTAAAAGTAAAATGAATATTTTAACTAGTCTATGTCCTTCACAATTTCCAGGAGTCTTTAGCAATCAAAGAGCAACATTAGCAAAAGTTCTGAGAATTCATAATTATTAGAGTCAAGACAGAAAAAAAATTAAAGAGTAAGTCAATAAAATTAAAAATCAACAAATGAAAAATCAATGAAATCCATAGTTAAAAATATAAACAACACCCACACTCATAAATTAGTAACAAAACAAAACCTATTTGGGTATTCTGTTACAGCACACCAACTAGATTAATGTATCTTAAAAATTAAATAAAACATCGAAGGGCTCTAGCAGAGTACTCAGCACAAAGTACAAGTAGGTAGTAGTTACAACCACCATCGTTATAATTATCATTCTCACAACTTAATAAAGATACATGTCATCTTTTAAAATTACCCCCAAGGAACTGAAATGGAGTGTGACCTATAAGTATTTACTTTATTTTAAAAAATGGCTATGGGCTGGAGATACAGCTCAGTTAGAGTGTTTGTCTTGCATGCCCAAGAGCTTGGGTTGATCTTCAGAAAACACACATAGAAGAGGCAAAAGAGGATGAGAAAAAAAGAAGGAAAGCAAGAAGGGGTAGTATCAATGGGGTGAACATAATGTAAGATTTTCAGAATCTTAGAAATAACACTTTGGGATAGATACATTCAAATCAATATTGCCAGTTCCCACCAGGCAGTGGTGGTGCATGCCTTTAATTCCAGCACTCCAGAGGCAGGCAGGTGGATCTTTTTGAGTTCCAGACCAGCCTGTCTACAGGGTGAATTCCAGGACACCCACGGATACACAGAGAAACCCTGTCTCAAAAACAAATTGCCAGTTCCCTACACAGTCTTCATTATAAACAGTAGAAAGCATCCCTTAATTTTGCTATGGAAACTATTAATCCAGTACTAAGAATAGCTCCTTTGACTTGCTTTGTACAATCATGCATGATCAAAATTATCAGCCTGTATTCAATATATTAATAAAAGGCTTTTGTTCCTAGGTGCTTCAGAAGACTACTGTCATATACTTGTAGAGTTCCTTACATTTCATTTCAACAGTTTGTTTTGTGCTCAAATGCCTTGTGAGTCCTCAAGTAATGATTTACTTTGAGCAGTACATAGAGAATATACTTTCCAGAGAGTTTTGCAATGTAAAAGTGGTTATTTTTAAAAAGCAAATTCCTCCAAAACTGGCAAAGTATTTTCAAAAGCATTTTATAAAACTGTATACTCAGACACAAAAATGATTCTCTCAGGAAATAAACTAAATAATAATAATAATAAAAAAATCCCGGGTGGGGCATTGGTGGTGCATACCTTTAATCCCAGCATTCGGGAGGCAGAGGCAGGCGGATCTCTGTGAGTTCAAGGCCAGCCTGGTCTCCAGAGCGAGTGCCAGGATAGGCTCCAAAGCTACACAGAGAAAAACCCTGTCTCGAAAAACCAAA